GTTACAAGGAACGTTTCTTTCCTTGCAATATCCTCTTTCAGCAAAATCCCTGCAGCACAGGTTGACTTGCTGTTATTTCTACAGATGAAACCAGAGTCAAGGAATTTGGGCTGAAATCTATGTGGAAGAGCCCAATGGCACAATCAGGAATATATTGAATGGTAACAATTAGGTTCTTTGTGCTTTAAGTATTGTGTATTCTGTGGATTATATACTGGTGATACACGTTGGCCAGGGAAGTTCTAATGTTTTACCCTGCTTCAAGAACATCATTTTCTTGAAAGTGAATCTAATCAACTTGATATTTTCTTGTCATTCATTTTGGAATAAATTTAATAATCTTGGTTGCTAATCAGACTTTTGGCAGGTACTGTTTTCCGTGAGCCTATTATTTGCCAGAACATTCCAAGAATTGTTCCTGGTAAGTTTTATATATATATATATTGCAAGTTTACAAGTGTAAGGCACAGCAACTGTGGCAAAGATTAATTACTTCCATCTTGATTCTGATTGAAACGAATCATCTGCAGGTTGGAAGAAACCCATTTGCATTGGTAGGCATGCCTTTGGCGATCAATATCGTGCTACTGATACACTCATTACAGGACCTGGAAGGCTGAAAATGGTTTTTGGTAAGTCAGCTTTATTTTTAAAACGTGTTAGAAAAGCTGTAAATTGAAAGACTTCGTGGTTTTTGGATAGTTCTCCTTCTAAAGTCTGTTAATTATGTCAGAGCCTGAAAGTGGGGAAGCCCCAGTGGAATTGGATGTCTATGAATTCAAAGGTCCTGGGGTTGCACTTGCCATGTATAACATTGACCAGGTTTGTCTCTTTAGTTCTCCTGGAAAAGGGGTTATAGTATCCTGTCTAACTAACGGTTCTGTGAAATTTGCTAGTCTATTCGAGCATTTGCTGAATCCTCAATGTCATTGGCGTTTTCAAAGAAATGGCCCCTTTACCTAAGCACCAAAAATACAATTCTGAAGAAATATGACGGCAGGTGGTCTTTTGCTACTCACTTACCTCATTTGAGGTCCTTCACTTTATTTTTTGTACTAGAACAAACCCTGTTTTTAATGCTAAATTAACCTCTCCAGGTTTAAGGACATATTTGAGGAGGTATATCAGGAGAAGTGGAAGCACAAGTTTGAGGAACATTCTATATGGTTAGCTGATATTGTCATGTTCTTCATTATATCCTCCTTTTTGTTCATCTCATGGCTTTTGAATTAATTACTCAACTAGGTATGAGCATCGCTTGATAGATGACATGGTGGCTTATGCAATAAAGAGTGATGGAGGCTATGTTTGGGCATGCAAAAACTATGATGGAGATGTCCAGAGTGATTTACTTGCTCAAGGTGATTTATCTGTCATTAATTTTTCATTTGATGGATGCAATACAACTATGTCCCATATATATTTGGAAAGTTTGTGATGATGTGCTTATACAGTGCTTTTAACCAAAAAGAAACTTGTAACGGCCCGCTGACTAGATATGCCTTTTTTTTTTAAGTACTGTCATTCGAGCCATTTTCTGTTTCCGTTTGGTGATGGATTTTTTGGATTGTTTATTAGTTGTGATTAATAGCTCACTCAGGCAAAGGACATGATCATTTCTCAAAGGAATCAATGTTTTATGTACCATTTGGAAACTTTTGGTTTCCCTTCCCTCCCCACTGTCCACTTGGTCAAAAAGAATAAAGTAGAAGTAGACTTGGAAGTGGCTGCTTTAGGGTTTTGTTTTTTTTTTTTTTTTGGGTAAGGAATTTTCATTGTCATTACTAAACTTCAACCGTAACAATTACAGAAACTGTTGAATAATAGATTATAACTTTTGAAAGTAGAAATCAGATACTTCATTTGACTTCCCTTGATATCCTATTTGCTTTCTGCAGGATTTGGTTCTCTAGGCCTCATGACGTCTGTATTGGTATGATATAGTTATATGGTGCTCATGCCTCGGAGCTAATTATAATGCTGGTCTCAAAACTTAGTTCTTATCTAATCATGTGCTTTGCAGTTATCCTCTGATGGCAAGACATTGGAAGCTGAAGCAGCTCATGGGACCGTAACCCGTCATTTTCGACTGTACCAGAAGGGTCAGGATACCAGCACAAATAGCATTGCTTCCATTTTTGCCTGGACTAGAGGCCTGGAACATCGGTTAGTTGTGGTGCCCTTTTTTGCGGTGCTATGTATTTATTGGGACTGATATGCCTACTTTTAGATCTTTGATCTAATGTGCTAGTTATTTGTCAACTGGCAATACTATATAGAGTTGCAGCTTTTGTTTGAGTTCTCAGATTTGTACACACCAACTTTAGGATTCTTGATCTTTCTCCCATTTTGTTGCTTTTCAAGACAGCACCGCGTCTGTTTAAAGGATCCCTTCTTTTGAATCAAGGACTTCCAAGTTATTTTTGACTAATGGAGATGTCTTATGCATGTACTAGCATTGGTGAATCATATGTGAACACGGTGTATTTCCAACATACTAGTTTGTTGCTCTCTGAATCTGATGTTTCTGTATTCTCTTACTTCTTTTTCAGTCCAAATCATCATTTAACAGGAATTATTGTGTAAAATAACATACTATGCATTTTGTGTGCTACTATGCATTATTTGTTTGCCATATTCGTTACAAATTTTAGTGCTGTCTAATATTTAGATCCGTAAATTATCAGTCCTTTACATTCTGATGCATGCCAGAATATGTTATCAGGGCCAAACTCGATGAGAACAAGAAGTTGTTGGATTTTGTCCACAACCTAGAGGCTGCATGTATTGGAACTGTTGAGTCTGGGAAAATGACAAAGGATCTTGCCATATTGATTCATGGACCCAAGTAAGTGGTGTTTTTTTTTTTTTGCCCCCCTTCTTTATTTATTTACTTATTTTGAGTGCGTGGGTATGTGGGGAATGGATGGGCGGGCTTGGTTTGGGTGATACTTAGGAATTATTTGGAGGCCTAACATCTAAAGGTATGCATGATAAGCATCGTTGATCATTTTGGGTTACCTTGAATTTCTTGTTCACGAAGTCAGTGTACTACCCTAAATGAGCATAGAAGTTCTCCTTGAATTTCTTCCCCTTGCACAAGCGAATGATAAAGTTGATCTTCTGTTTTAGGATTAATCGGTTAGCACCGTGGAAGAAGGGTTGTTTTATTGTTCATAATTTCTGGAGGTTAATGTGTATGTGCAGGGTATCAAGGGAGTTTTACTTGGACACTGAAGAGTTCATCGGGGCTGTAGCAACACATCTTCAAAAGAAACTCCAAGCACCTGCATCTGTCTGAGAGATCTGCAGCTATTCTATGGAGTTGGAATTGGGAAAATTTTCTGGTTCAGGTTGACGGGGCTACTTGTTTTGACCCCAATAGACTAGAGGCGTCACTTCATGGTGCGTTGAGCTCACTATGGATTGAACCGAGGGAGCATGACAAACACAAGTGTATGCTGACGTTTAACAGAAGAAAAGTGCCGTTGAAGACGGAAGACGGGGTTGCGACATTTCATGACAAAAAAAAATGAAATCTGAAACAGACCAATTGGTTTTTCAGAGTACTTTCTTGTCCGCTGCTCATCTTATTCGAAATTTTCATGATGTTCCTAAAAGTGCTTCCCTGTCATAGCTACTGCTACTTAATAATCGTGGAGATGAATGAGATTTTGATGCAATTATTGTATTTTTACTAACTCGTTACGGCAATTGTGTCTAGCATCTTCATTTCAAAGATGTGTAGTAGCTCTGGATAGATGTGGTTGAGACAGCACACCGGGAGGGAGCGTGCATGAAATGAATTCGTGGAATGAATGAACATATTCAGGTCATTTGGAATTTTGGATAGTGGAGTGCTTCTTAATGGCTAATGCCCTTTATCTTTTTACGGTTAGATGTTGACGAAGGATCCCACTCCTAGCAAAATATTTCTCTCGCCTTCATATCTTACGCACAACCGTTCCTTTCCGGGCGGTTGCTCCTGGAGTTGACCGACGTCTTCGTTTTTAGACCACGCATTACTAACTGAACGGGGAATTGAATTTGTTACCGACGACGTGTCAATTGTTACAATTTTCCAATTGGATGTTATTTAACTTTACAAGAATCGGACAATTCCGTGGTCGTTGGAACTTGGAAGGAGGTGTCGGGTAGCCCCCAAGCCTGCAACTGCTATCTTTGACTTGGTTTTCTCCCCTTTTTTTTTGCTTAAACTTTTTTGTTTTTTGGGAGTGCTGTTAGTTTGGGTAAAGAAGTTGATCGGTAATCTTCCTCTGCCGACCTGTCAATTCACAAAGTCAAAAGTAAGGACATCACGGAAATCGTTAGGATTGATTTTATAAAAAATAGTACATAAGATATAATTTTATATGTATACAGTGTAATTTACTTTCAATAAACTATAATTATAAAATAAAATTTTATAGGCTCTCTACATAGTATAAAAAATGATATATAAAATATAATTTAAATATTTTATATATATATATTTGTCAAATCTTAGCCATGATGTAATTGAGCATGGAAGTGGCCTGTTTTATCAAAAATAAAAAAAAGAAAAGAAAAAGGAAGTGGGCCTGTGTCACTTGGGCCAAGTAAAAAGAGATATTCTGGCATCTACACAAAAAAAAAAAGTAAAGCCCAACTCTTTGACGCGTCTCAGACACGCCTTCCTCCCTATAATTTATTTGTGTATATAAATAGGTACAGTTTCAACCGGGGACAGGAAGAGGTCAATTGGCGTGGATTTTGCATTCGCTAGTTTCTCGGGCTCTGTCAATCAAGAGAAGAAGAAGAAAGATATGCTCTCCCAAAGGCTAAGGAGATCTGTCGGCCAATCCTGTTGTCGTTTTCAGTCCTCCCCTCACTCTCCTATCTCCTCTATTGCTTACATAATCTTTCGTTTTGCAATTCTAGCTAGAGTTATATTTTTGGCCTTAGAATTAATTTGGAATGGTGGGGATGGGGGATCCGAGTTTAATAACATTGAAATTGCAGCAAGTCGTACTGTCCGTTCTGCGTCAACGTGAAGAAGCTGCTGGGTCAAGTTGGTGCCAACTTCAAGGCCGTCGAGCTGGATGTCGAAAGTCTGTTCTCCTCTCCCTTTTTTTTATTATTATTACATCCCTCTCCTTTTCTTATTTTTCCCCCTTTTGTTACGCCGTTTTTTTTCTGTTTACCGAATAATTTTCTTAAATCTCGCGGACAAATTAACAGGATTTGCATGAATTGATCTGTCGTTTATACCAAAGAAGGGACAAAGACGCCTAATCCATTTTCTGGGTGGAAGACTTATTAATGCCCCCCCCCCAACAAACACACACACACACACACACACACACATATATATATATATATATATATTAATATATATTTTGTTAAACTTCTGCATGCGTATCAATGTCAGTTTATTCCTGCATCTGTCGTTTATCATGCAACGGAATATTTGTAGATTTTTCTTCTAATGTAATGGCCATTCTTAGATCGTGGACGGTTTATGGATGGCGGATGCTGATTTGATTGGATTCAATTTTCATTGACTTTTCTGATTAGTGGCCCTAAATTCTAGTTAGTAGGGAGCCATTTTTCGGCCTTCCTCGTACTCATTGTTGCTGCAACAATTCAAGATGTCGTAGGGTTTCTTTACTAAGTCAATAGGTGAAAATGTATGGTTAATTGGAGATGTTCTTCTGCTAGTGTGATCATTTGTTGGTAATGCTTTCATACTTCCAATAGATTCCAATTCAAGTTGAACATGGATACTAGTTTTATTCAAGTTGAACAGAATCCGTGTCTGCCATATATGAGCAGATGCCTTCTGAAAATCTTTTATATGTCCTTGAACTCTTCCTCTATATCTATACTAATAATTTGTAATGTACGTTTGACGTTTGTGAAAGGTGATGGAAGTGAGATTCAGGCAGCTCTTGCTGAGTTGACTGGACAAAGACTGTGCCCAATGTCTTTATCGGGGCAAGCACATTGGGGTTGTGATGTACATTAGTCACCTTATTTCCAAGATGTAATTTCCAATTAAGTTACTAGGATCCATGATCTTATTTACCTCTCTGCATTTGTTTTTGTATCTGCAGCAACAACTGCATTGAACCAGAACGCAAGCTTGTTCCTTGCTAACTGAAGCCGGAGCTGTGCTAGTGTGTCTGCTTAGAAGACCTTCAAGCATACGTTGGATGAATTATGCATGTTTCTGAAGCATTATATAAATAAGCAATGTTTGTTAGTGTTTCGTTTCATTTTTCTGTTTGAGAATAAATTATGAATAGAAGCTTCGCTGGATTCCTACTATATTATTATTGTGGAAGTCAACAAAATAAAACTAGTCTGACCATCTTTTGCTGAAGAACGTCTCAGTCTGGCTCAAATTCTCCAAAGTCAGAACTCGTCTCCATCACTCGCAGTTAATCAAAATTATCAAATTCGCCAAGGACACCAATTTAGCTTGAACTTGAGCTTGTACTTAACCAAATTCACAAGAATACCAATTGTAAAAGTTTTAGTGGTGTAACATGGTCAGCAGATGCATCTTTATGAGCTCTGACCTTTTTCTAATAAGCTCTATGCATAAGCTCTACCAGGCACCTGTGTTGCGCAGGGAACCGTCAGATATCCACTTCTCTTCTTCAAGCTCAGGAATGGTAGCATTTTACTGCTATGACCGTGAGAGTCGTAGACAATTGCACATGAAAAGCACAATTTGACTTTCAGCATGCCTAATAGGCAACAAAACTGTTTGGTTCTTTGAAATTCTACAGCAATTGAGATAGGAAAAAAACATGGAAGCAGAAATTAGAGGAAAAAAGAGCGTTTAGAATCTGAGATGCAAAAATCATTAGACAACTCACGGTTGACAAGTTAATCCAGCAGTTGAGAGTACATAGTGCTTCCCCTGAATGATGTTTTTTGCGGGCTAAAGCTACGCCATCCCAAAGTTACTAACGTGTCCACTGACCAATAATGCCGCTGCTGCATTCAGGACCTGAATTATCACCCGGGAACCTAATTATGGACTTGAACATTGTCTGATGAAGTTGGTTAAAAGATAGGACTAGATGTCTCTCTCTAAGTTATTAGGTGATTGGTTTTGTTCCAAACACCGGGACATCACAAAAATGAGGAGCAAAACATTGTAAAAAATGCAGATAGGGGAAAGGGAGATTTACGAATGCATCTGCAACAGGGCCCGCTTCACCAGATAGCACTCGCCTCAGTACAGTAGCATTATACTGGGGCTTCCCCTCGTAGATTTTCCACCGTGCAGCGAGGTATACCAAATTCCACTGCATGATAGATTATCCCAAGGAATTGGTTACTGATTTTCAAGAATACCAAATTCAGAATCTTATTGCAAAAAAGATACTTCCACTTGTCTGGTCATGGACTCACAAGCAACTTTCTGGATTCCCGGTTACGGTGTCTATAGTCAGACCAAGATATGAAGTGGTTATGGGGTCTGGTTCCTGGTTTGGCACGTCCCAGTTAGTTTAGGTTGAGGAGAAAATGAACCAGTCAAACTTCAGGAAAAAAGAGCACAGGACGGGTCCGAGTCTGTGTGCACCGGATTCACCTGCTTTTGACGAGGTTTAAATTGTTCTTGCTTCTAGTTTTAAGCATTATCAAGAACTGGCATTTAGCTGGCTAGTTAAGTTTTGGGTATAGTACATTATTAAGAACCCATCTGTGTATATAGATACGTAAATGTATGAGGCAATGTGGTAATTCCGTGCTTGGCTTTGGATTTCTATTAGGACAGATACAAGTCGAGGCCTAGAGTCGAATTCGAAATTAAGATCGATCATCTATGCATGTCAGTTATGGTCAAATATCATGGCTAGTTTGTGACCAGCAAGGTAATAAGCTACTCTTCAACAGAACACCATTTCAAAAGAAACCAGGCAGCAGTTTGGCATTGCCAAGCCACAACATTGGCATCAGTTAGATTGACTGAAGCATCAACCATGTTAAATGTAAAAGCCTTGAATAAAGCAACCTACATTTAGTTAAAACTTAAAACACGCGAGGGACTTTAAGGTTCTTACATGGATCAAAAGAGAACTTCTCGATCTTTTCATGTGTAACATCATACATCAGTCCAGGTCCTGTCAATATAACTAAATCCATGATGAGAAAGACTTGCGACAACTAAAGAAAGCATACAAGCATTACATGAAGCACACAAATTCAAAGGCGTCAGTGACCTGAAACTGTTTTTGCTGCATTCAATTTCACGCGACGAGGTAAACTTACCTAGTGGACTCATTTCATCCAAGCCTTCAGAGTGAACAACTAGTGCTCTTTTGAGGCCATATCTTTGCAGGGCATTGGCCATCTTTTTAACCTATTGAAGTGGAAGAGAGTAATTATCGACGCTGAAAAGCTGATTTACTTGAGTAGGATTCTTCCCTCTATAGACAGTAAAGTTAAGAGACCACCCCAAAAAGGAAAGAGAAAAAGAAAGGAATAGATCAAATATCAATGGGCTTTCACAGAAGTATGACTTATGTTTAATCTGCTGAATATTACTAAAATTGGGTGCGCGTCTTAGAGAACTGAGACTGGAAACTTTCCAACATTTTGAGTCCTGTTTATTATCTCAGAATTACGAGAACTTAGCTCCAGAAATTACAAATGGATTGAGGTCTTATAAGTCTTATGAACTTTGCCACTCAATAGTATAACTGATTTACTTATATAATGTATATACCAAGTCAGCCAACTCCTGAAATTTCCGACTGAAAGCATCAAACGCTTGACAAAAAGGGCAATGAAAATGTTACTAAGGAATGCAGTATTTGATAAAAACCCTCTAAAGAAAGCGTGAACTAATCAGTTTGTGATTTCTGCAGTTATTGACCATATTTTCAGACTTATCGGTCAATTGGTACAACCACTTATTACTAGTTTGAATATCGCAGTTAAGGCATAATAAAGAAACCAGTAAGTAAATTATTTCTAGCATAAACTACAGGACACAAACTTTGAGCCTACCATATCTTCCTTGTACACTCCCACCACAGCAAAAGGTAGTTGTGCTGGATTCAACAATGGACCGAGGGTATTAAATACAGTCTTCACTTTGAGCTTTTTCCTCACAGGTGCAACAATCTTCATTGCTGGATGATAGTTAGGAGACATCATGAAACCAATGCCAACTTCTTCCACGCATTTTTTCACCCCCTAATTCCAAGAACACGATTTAACTGATATGCTCCTAGACAAGTCATTTTTCTTTTCCAAAGTTAAGCAGAATGTGGATCTCGGATTATTGAAAAATGCAGACAACCGTCACCAGTGCGTTGGAGGTGTATAAGCAAACAAAGCACGTTCAGGCAATAGAATAAGAGAAGAAATGTATCAGTCTGAAATAACTGGTGAGTAATGTTATAAGACTCGTATTTGACTGCAAAACTGTCACTTTTCATGAAACCCAGATATAGAATTATGAAATTCATGAATGTAAAGATCTCATATGGAAAAAACTAAACTTAATTTCTCAATCAAGAAACTGTAGAATAAGACTTCTTATCAAGAATTTCTCAATCAAATTCACGTTGGAAAAAAAAGTTTAAATTAAGATTTAAGGGCATAAAAAAGTTGAATCGCGGGGCTTGTAGTTAAAGTTTCACGACCACAACAATGTGATAAAGTAGAATTTTGTTGAATGCAAGAGATGCTGTCCAATCGAGTTTCAACGCAATCACTGGGGGAGCAAATGATGATGTTTTGATTGACAACATAAGGTCCAACTTGATTAATTAGTCTAAATGATGTATTAGAAAGAAAGAAATTTTAGCTTAGTCGTGGATAATCCTTTCAGGATAGGGATACTCAATAACTTAAAACTGTACATCCTCAATATAAGTCCGAATTGGAAATTAGAGCAGCAGCATGACATATCATCACCTAACAAATCATAAAGAGATAACCAAATCGAGTAATTCTATTTTATTAGCCAAATGACAACAAACCGACATTTTTGAGTTTACTATTTTCGCATGGCTCAAAGCCAAGGAACAAATGCAGTACGATGTGCTAACCTCAGGTCCCAAGTCAATGGCCACACCTAAGGCTTCCAAAACATCAGCACTTCCACAAGCAGAAGAACTTGATCGATTACCTTGCTGGAAAGGAGCGCATAATTTCTTTACGAAGTAGTAATACACAATGCAAATTATCATCCATGCTTACTTGGACAACCAATGGTATGTGGTATATTAACAATTATTCACCTTAGCAACTTTAGCACCACAAGCAGCAGCAAGAATCGCGGCCCCGGTTGAAATATTTACCGTGTTAGCCCCATCACCTCCTGTTCCAACTATGTCCACTGAATTCTCTAAACTCTCCACTTTTTTGCAGCATTTGATCATAGCTCTTGCAAATCCTGCAATCTACATGTAGATAATTTTAAACCCATTAGCAAAACTGGATCAAAGGATTCTTCTCCTAATTAGTACTTAAACAGGCAGACAGAACAAAAGTATGTATGAGCCAAGATATGGATTTGGTAAGATTCCCGAGGTCAACTAAACGTGATGTTACTTCTTCGAAGGTTTCGCCTTTGGCTCTTAAGAGGACAAGAAAAGCACTGATCAAAGCATCACTGCCATTATTCAGCAACAAGTTAAGTGAAGCCTCAGCCTCCTCTTCAGTCAGGTCTTTGCGAGCCAACAATCGCTCAATTAACTACATTTACAGCAAAAACAAGCAAATCAAAATTCCTTTCCCCAAGTCTGCCTTCACTAATTCGTGGAATCAAAGTCAACTAGTAGTGAATTAGTAATGTTGTGTGATTAAAAAAAAAAAAAAAAAAAGAAGCCGGTTGTAGATATACCTCCTCGGAGGATGAAATGGGCCGTTGTAGTTCAAGTGGGGAGCCAGAGCAGCACGGCAAGTGAAGGGAGAACCGCACAGAGTTTGATTTCCGCGGGAACAAAATTCGTGCACCCTTCGGTGGATGAAAGGAAAATTTACGAATCCCAGATTTTTCCGACAATTGCTTCTTGTTGCAGGAGAGAGAAGGAGATCTAAACACAATCATGACGTCCATAAAATAGCATTGCAGTGACTACAATTGTCAGTTGGGCGTCATCAGTTCCCGATCGAGGGTTTGTACGAACCAATGCTTTGCCTCCACTAACTTTTGGCTGTGACTGTGAGACGTGGATTATGGAATTGCTTTCTGATAAGAATTTGTTCTTTCTTTCAGTTTGTTCGCACTCGGCAGAAATGGAAAATAGGAAGCAATGAATCTGAATTTGGTAGCTCTGCGTCATAAAGATAAAGTGCGCAGGGGTGCAGTTATTGGTGCATGAAGTTGTTGCCGCCATAAATGCACAATTTTCCCTTTTCAGTTTGAACTACAACGTACTGAGCATCATCTTGTTCAATTACTGTTTCTTAGGCTATCATAATTATGTAGATAAGAATTAGAACTAGATAAAGGCCATTGGGATCTCTTGAAGATCAACGTGGGTGCAGTTTGTGTAGGAGAGACCACAGAGACAGGCGAGTGTGATTGCTCGGAATTGGCAGAAGACATTGGTGGGCTGATGAAGATGAGCTTGCAGAATTCAGGGCCATTATTACCGGTTGTGTTCTACAAAGAATTGCAGAGTTGGCTGCGTTTTTTGAATTGAATTTGAATCCAAATCCGCCTAAATCACCCATTTTTTACGCCTCTAATTTTACCCTAATGAGCAAGACAAAATGTGGGTGGGGCTTGTGCTGCACCATACAATTTAAGTACTATCAAAATAAATCTAGGCATTAACATAATAAATATGAACCTTAAGATAACAAAATTTGACACTGAAAATTACAGTTAAATCCATCCATCTATTTATATATATATATATATATATATATATATATATATATATATATATATATAATCATATATACGCCATAATTTTCATAGTGTAATTAAGCAATTGTCTACATCCACTAACATTTGACTCTTCTAGCCTTTTTCTCAGTTTTAACAAAAATATATAGTGTGAAGAGATTTTATATACGCTGCCTTTCTTTTCTTGTGAAGAGGTTCCGAAATCTGGACCAAGAATAAGCAAAGACAAGACCTGACTGCAAAGATTTGATGATGATGATTTCTAATAGTTCTTCCACTTCTTCTAGATATCTTATTACAAAAGACGTTTAAAACAAAAATTATGTAGTAATATAACTTTTTATTTCGAGCCACCTTTTCTTTTCTTTTTTTACGTATAAGTAGAAAGTATCGAACTCGGAAGTTCTCACTATCTTTTCTGTACCATTCATTCAACGCATTCCTTCCTCGAGTCATGTTATCATTTACCAGATTATTTGAAACAATATCGTATTAGTGTTAGATTTGGAGAAAATTGGATAGAAAATTCAAATTTAGAGAAAATTTAAACAAGTGTTTGATAATTAAAAAAAAACCATATTATATTAGACGTGCTTGACCAAAATTATATAACAATTTATATCAAATGTCGTGAGAATTATATAACTGAACAAAAATTCAACAATAACGGACGTGTGTGGATAACTTATTCTACACCGTAAATAGTAAATTATGCTATGAATTACTGGCAAAATCCACTAGCTGGCATTCGTCAAACAATCTCGCACCTTTTGAAGCGTCCCCTAATGACATTGAAGGAATTATTGGCACCAACTTCAATCTTGACATTGTTGCAGTCGACAGTGATGTGACGTCTGCTTGAGACCGGCCGCACAGGTACGTAAATATACTTTGCATGCACCTGGAAGCTGAACGCCGCGACTCCATGCACCCGATCTTCGATCAAGGGATTACTCACGGTCTCGTTCGCAATCGGCAGACGCCATGTCGATATAATCGCTTCGTACTTCACATGAGACTTCTTTGGCTGATCAAAACCGCTCTGGTTTGCCGACACTAACAGCGTGTTTGTGTTTCCGCTGTAGACGGAAACCTCGACGTCTTCGTAACTAAGCCTCCCCTGATTAGGGTTCTTGACATCAAAAGTTATATTCCAAGTTGCCGTTAAGTTAGAGCCTACCATGTCGAACGGAGAAACAGAAACTGAGATGATTTCGAACTTTGGCGAACGAGGCCATAGGCGCACCAGTACGCCGATGACACCGCCGACAAGAATTGTGAAAATTGTAACGACGATCAAACACTGGAAGATGGAAGAGCACGGGCGTCGGTACGGCCGGAATACGTTATAATTATAGAAACTGCTAGCGTCCTTCGGAGCTTGCCGGCCGCAATTACTCCAAAGACGTTTCCAGTAAAGTTGATTCATCGTTTTTGCTAACATCCGTTCAAGAGACAAGAATGAAAACAAGGACAACGTATACGTTTATAGATTTCTTTCTTTCAACTATTTGTAATGCACCCCTGGACGAAGGAATGTTACTATTTACGGGTATTGGACCATCTACTATAGAAACTTCTTACGTAGACTTTTACCTTGTTGATTCTTGCCTCTTGGTCCAAAATTATGTCAGAGGGAAACAACTGGTTTCTCCTTTTCATGGTATTTTTAGTCCACATTTAGAATCTTGTTCATTGTTACTATTATGATTACAACTTTTTTTCCGTCGGAAGTGTCAGTTTTAGACCTTTTTTAGGGCCTCCAACTGAGCACATACTTAAAAATAAAGCAATTTCAAAAGATGACATCTACTTACTTAAAAAACCAATAAGAACTTCAAAAAGTGAAAATCAATGTGAGAAAAATTGGAAGTAACATTAGATCCGACGTTGTCTATCTAAACAATAGTACCAAAATCAAATAAGACAATAAGACAAGTATCAGTTGTGTCTGGGCAAGTCGAATTCATGCAATTTCGCCTTAGAGATTGAATTTGTGCCATGTCCCTCCCACACCGGGGCAGCCTGCTAGGACAAACTCTATGTGGTATCGTCGCAGGCAGTCCCTCACTCCCTTTCACAGTTAGGGACTCAACAAATTCTATTTGATGTAAGAGATGAATGAAATTGTTGAGAGGGTCCTTGGCTTTTGTTTACCTCATAAAGACCTTAACGGGTCATGGGAGGGTGCCTACCATGGTTCAAAGTTGCGGTCACGATTGTGATCGCAGACCGGACAATTTCACATCAATCTCGACATATCAATCACTGTCTCGGCGAGACGCAAATTTTTAAAATATTTAATATTCTAAAAATTGTAAAAAATGTGATAAATGTGATAAATAAAATAATTAATAAATTAATAAAAATTCAAGTCAACTCGGGATGACTCGAAATGATTCGATGTAATTCGACCGTTTCAACCCTTCACGATGACGTCTCAACGAATCAAGTATTTCGAAATCGTATCGTCTTGATCTCGTATCGGAAGGGCCCGAGACGGTGACGACTCGGCCGAGTCTTTGAACCATAGTGCCTACCCAGCCTAACAGCCAATGCTTCTCCCTCACGCACACATTAATCGCAAATTAGATGGAAAGGGAAAGGATGAGAGCAAAAGTGTAAAACCAGGCACTCTGCCAACCTGCTGCCAGGCGCAAGCATATTGTTTCTTTTGGCAACAAGTCCCATGGTTCATTTTGTTGAAGATTTGATATATTTGCCGCAATATCTGTGCAAACCAGGGCGTATACCCAGTTTTTGGACAAAAAATGATGTACACGTATTAAAATAAAAACTGGGACTTGAGCCCATACAATCAACAAGAAGACATAAAAAGAAATTCTTCAATGACCACTTTTATTTGCCATGTCATCCAGATCAGATGGACTTAAAATCAGCAATGATCCCTATTTAGCTGTCCCTCTCGCAATTCCTCAGTTCTCCGATTAAACCTTCCAAATGAGCAAGCCGCCTCTGCTATGCCCTTAAAGCAACTTCAACAGACAAAATGTTGATGGTGTGGGTATGTGATTTAAAACAACACATCCTAATATCAAGGTCTCATCTCTGACACCAATAAGATTGCGAATACCATCTAGACAGGGCATACTCTTTTAATTTAACGATCAATGCAAAAATACTATAGCATGGGACATGCAGTACTGCCGCCAACAAATACCTGCCAATATACAGAAGACACAAACTAAAATGGATAAGAAATAAAGAAGAAAAGTCCAGACAAAAGTGATTTTCAGCTTCAAAACTCAGTTAGGCATCAAAAGATACAACACAGGAATTAACTGATCAACAATTTCTGATAGCAGACAAGTTGAAAAGTGCAGACTAAATGGTGATTCAGTGTGTGATACCCTGCCTCTTATCTCAAACAAGTTGTTTAACAATCTTGAAAAACTATATACAAGAAGTTGTTTGATTAACATCAAAGAACTGTTGCTGGTTTAGTGAAACAAAGATGGAAATGGTATACAGAAAATCCCATTATAGAATATTTGGGCTGAAAGTTGATAGATGCTCTATGCACAATAGGCAAAGCCATAACTACATAAGCAAAATTCTTGAGTCATTCTGAGAAAAGATAAATTCCATATCCAAAAGTAGCTGCATAAAGAGAAAATTTCAGAAACAACCTACCATATTGGAGCATATCGTGCGGAGAGGTCAAGAAATGGGTATGGCCACCTGAAGACAGACAATTGACAATAAAAAGACTCAGACAGAACAGCTGCCAGAGAAGGATAAGAGAAAGTAAGAGAAATCTTACCACAATGGTAAACAAGCATGAATGGTCCACTCGAAGATGACATAAATACCCGTCCACAATATGAAGTAAGAAATCCGGAACCACGGAAAATGCTGAAAATGCGTTTCAAGCTCATTGAGGACAAAAAGATGAAAGTGCTGGTTCAGAAAATTCTAAAAGCAAAAGAGAATAAGCAGCAATTACCAAGGAATTTAAAGCTGTGTCCCAAGAAGCAAGATCAGATTAAGTGAATGGGCAAGGACTGTCAACTGATAAAGAAGGCAAGAAATATCTTCAGAAAATGAAAACCAATCAGTATCAAGAGCATATTAAACAATAGATAAATGGATAACAAAAGGAGCATATAGCTGCATACTGTGGGCAAATTGATGGCATGCTGAAGATCTGGGATCTTCTTTTTCAAACCATTAGTTTTTATGCACTATCGAAATGACCAAATTGTCCTTTAGCTACACTTTGTACCAAAAAAAAAAGGTAGCATTTTCTGATTTTGGAGAAACAGAAACGTGCCTTGGAAATGTTGGACACACAGAGATGTCTGCAGAACGACTTTAGAAGATGACTAGCATCCCAACATTTAGAATCACCATATCAGCAGCAAGACCATGTGCCAAAGATTGGAAAACTAAAATATTTGTACTATTCAAACGTGTATATTTATCCATTTCACTGAAGACTGAAACGGTTGTCTATCAAGTGAAGAAGAAAATTTCTTGAGGTCAGAGATCACCAAATCAGTTAGCGGTAGAACTGAACTATCAGTTTTGCCACAGACGATAAAATGTATTTCATCATTCCCCTAATTGTCACCAAGTAATACACACTATCTGAGAATCAATCAATGAGATAACACACTACATATAATTCAGACAGCCATGCTGGGTGCAAAAGAATTTCTGATATATCATATCTAAAACCAAATAGCACCACAAAAGCGTCTGATAGAAGGTAAATACAACATTTAGGCAACTAAGTAATTTACAAATTTAAAATCAAATGCTACGAAGCATGGCCATGTTTTACAAACTAACAAACACTACAGGCACAGTAATCAGCTTCACAAATTACCGCAATCATTATTGATTCCACTAATATAATACAAATTCAAGATTGTTCATACAAGTCAGTCTTCGAGTACTTACCAAACTCATCTCATAATCTTCGATGCTAAGAAATGGGAAAATAACGACCCAGTAAACAGAATCAGTAAGCATCACCGCCCCTGCTGTCATCTGTGCATCGAAAAATGTTATTAGCTAGCTTGAATACTGGAAAACGAAAAAGTTGGACTTCCAACACAACATAATTAAGTTTGATAATGTTAACACCAAAAATTGCCACAGTAAGAAATGGTCAAGTAAATTGGCATTAACAGTGTCACAAAAGAAAAACATTCACTTCATCTAGGCGCAATTTCTGTAACTAAAACTCCACAACGTCAAGAGACCTATACCATATACACAGAGATGCAGCCGAAAAAGCAACTTGTCAAAATAAAAGACCATTCAAAGCCAATTATATGATGAAGTAATGAATATATTAAAAGTCTAGATATCCAAGAGAATGTTCAAGGCAACCCATAATCTCTGGCCAGGTCTATCTAGTGCTAAGAGTAAAATTTTTTCATCTGTTTTCATGGTCATCCTATTATAGCAGGATGTTTAATCCCCTAAAGATGATTTACCTGAAATAAAATCTGAAATAGGTTACACCAGAGGGCAGCACTGCATGGAGTGTTTGATTTCCCTTTGTAATCCAAGTTTCCACCCACTTTTCCATTTGAAGTTCCCTCGCATGCAAGTGGCATATATAAGCCCTTCTCTGTGTCTTCAACGATACGATCATTAACCTTGTTGTTCATTCTGTTATCCTTACAAAATCCATAGAGTGACAGCACAGATCCAAGCTGCAAAGAGACTTGAGAAGACAACATCAGAAAAGATTGCATTTTGTATTGGCAGAAGCAAAAAATAGAAGTTCAAACAAATTGGAATATCCGTACAACCAGATGGCACATGTAAGATTTGCCATCAGGTCCATAAAGAAGAGAAACATATGCATACCCCAAAATATATGGTAACTAACGTAAAAGTCCACCTGCATAGCAGCCAAAAAAATCATAAATCCCATAGTCAGGGAGAAATAAAGCCACTATTCACTTCTGTCAAAAATAAAAGCATACCACATTTAGAAGATAAATTCTCAAGGCTGAAATGGTAGTTGACCCATTCATTTGTACAAGTTTTGTCCTCTAAATCTCCAGAAGAAAACCATTTCACATGTTTAGAAAACATCTTTGTATTTGGGTGAGGATGGGTGCATTTACATTTTTAGAGCTTCAGTATTAACCCTTATTTTACTTGCCAAAATTATGCAAGCTACCACATTTAGAAGATAAATTCTCAAGGCTGAAATAGTAGTTGACCCATTAATTTGTACAATTTTAGTGACATGTTTAGAAAACGTCTCTGTATTTGGGTGAGGGTGGGTGCATTTACATTTTTAGACCTTCAGTATTGACCCTTATTTTACTTGCCAAAATTATGCAAGCCAGGATCAAGGTAAGCTACTCTGCCACTGTCTGTGATTGCAGGTAAAAGTAGAAGGAAGTAAAAGTGGAGTGGGGCTCATAAACCAGGTGGGTGGGCTTTTGGGCAGACTGAAAAGGGGAAGTGGAAGGAGGGTGCTTCTCAGCTAAAGTTGAGAGTAGGGTCGCAAGTCCACCTCCTCCTTTTCGGCTTAGCCACTCCCTAGACTGAGAGCTAAAGTGAAGCTAAGCATCACTGAATAAAATGAGGGAAGGAGTGAAACCAAACTTCTCACAGTCAGTGAGAAAAAGTGCTTGATGTTACCTTAATAAAGGACAAACTAAATTGGTAGGAAAAATATCATACTAAACGTGCAAGCAAAGAAGTCAGAAGCAAGCCAATCGCGTATTCTAGTAACCTAACATACTAGCATTCAAGAAAGCACAAGCATGCAGCACAAGGAACCCAGACTCTGTACCTTTTAAGTTTTGAGGCTCTCAAGTCCAGAAAGAATGTTCGAAACTGGTAAACTGCCCTCTTTCCTCTAGGGGATGAAATCTTCGTAGTAAGGTAAGGAAAAAAATTGCTAGTCGGTACACCAATGCTTGACCTCACTTAGAATCTGAAGTCTAGAATAAATTTCACAAACTGCTTCAAGATTTACAATTATGTCTCCTCTTTTCTAATGCAATTCAAATGTTTATCAAATTAATTCAGTGGTAACCACAGTGCAAAATGTTTAAATTGCCACAGATTGATTCTACACATAGCCAATCAGCAAAGATGACTTACTGAGTATAATAGTAAAATAATTCACCACCGTGAACTGCAACATCAAAACTAAGGGCCACTAAGAGCAGACAGAATGCGATAACCCGATAGACCATCAAAAAACTCGGGGAATTTCCTTTAAACATGGCCTCCAAGCTTCATCATTCCACAAAATCCTGGATCTCTCATCATGCAACGCTTCTCTGTCGGAGCATGAATCTTTTGTCGGACGTTCATATTTCCATATAAGATAGAATGCTACTGCCATTGGTGTCAATACCAATATTGCACAGAGTAAGACCCTCCAATTTAACCAATAACTCAAGGTTGTAGTATCATCAGTCACCATCAACCGCATTCTGGGAGAGAAACAAAATGAGTCATTTTTCTATTGGTTAATGGTTGCTTTACAACCACATGCAAACTATGAAGTATAACCAAATCCAAGTATCCAACAAGAAAATCTACTTTTGACAACATATATGTCTTGAAAAAAATGCGAAACTCAACAATTGGACTTCCAAACAGTTTTACTAAGCAAAATCAAAAAACACTTAGCAAAACGAATGAATACTTTTTCTATCTCAATTAGAAAGAATAAGGCACTAAAATCAATGCCCAGTTATCTGCAAAACAACCCCTATGTTTTGCTGAACATCTCATACTGCAATTGCATCCATTCCAAAACATCAAATCTAATATCTAAATCTAATCAATCTTCAAAGTCCAATACGAGACCCCCAATATACAAATGGCAGCATTACTCTGTCAGACTTACAGACAAACACCTAGCACGCATCAGAACCACAAGGCTAGCAATCAACTAGCAGGATCAACAATAAATAAATAAATAAATATCTCCACCAGCAAAGAGAAAAAGAGAAGCCCTTATACTCGGTAAAGAAGAAATCAGAAGAGCAAAGACCATTACCTGAACCAGACCTTTGGGCTGAGAAAGAAGACTCGACAGAGGAAAAGGCGATGATAATGCGGGTGCTTTCGCTTCGGCTATCGTTCCCCCTTAACCGACGGCTAAGCGAAGTGCTCTTTTGTTTCTTTGTTCTTTTGTTTTTCTGCATGATCGGAGCCTATTATTAGGTCGACGTGTGCCTTAAAGAGTCCGTGCTGTCTAGAACAAAGAGTTCAATACAAGGCGTCGGTCTTGTTTCATTTTCTGCTCAACTCTTATCCAATCATTTATCAACGTTTGGATTATTGGATTCGCTCCTTTATTTTGTAGTTGTACTGGTAAAATTAATGAATCAAACAATAATACGTATTAAAATGATGCGGACCCCAAGTGGAGATTGGCTGGGGAAGACTCATGATCATTGACGACTCTCCACTCTCTCCATTGGATTGGCGAAAGCCAAAAGCCAAAAAGGCCTACGTCTTTTTCTTTGATCGGTCCCGTTGGCCGTGATACAGCGGGTCCGATTTGTCAGTTACCAATGGATAACGTTTATCTCCTTCCCTGAGAATTCTTTTTTTTTTTTTTTTTGATAATTCCCTGAGAATTCTTATATCTGAGAAAAAAATACTAACAAGAAATTAAACAAAAACTTTTGGGACAGGAAAAAAAAGGCTCACTCCTAAATATTAAGAAAGAGAAAACTCCCACTAGTATCAAGGACTTGCCTAATTCGATAACCACATAATTTTGTCAACCAAAATTTTAGTGCCATACCTTTTGAGTTTTAAATTGAATTAGTATAATACGATAGTGCATAAAGGGTACGTAACGGGCGTCTAATTATTATGTTTGTTTTTTCATTGACAATCATTCTGAATTATACAATAATTATTTAGTAACTTTAAAACCATTTATTGGTCTTGGTGAAATTTTTTTTGAAATTTTAGAACCAACAAAATATTTTTTTTAAAAAAGGCAAATCAACCATCGACTTATTTTTGTTTCCTTTAAGAGATACTCTTTTTTTTTTTTTTCTATAACATAATGCCAGAAGTATATATGTTGTACCATTCACACATGCCTACTCGTGGACATTTGATTAGCTGCATCTGAATGGATCAATCCTCATCTTAACCTGTGGAAGCCCCATTTTCTTCGAAGATAATTTCTCTCTGTCTTTGCCTATTGGGCCGATGGATTGATACCTTGACAAAACCAGGCCCCAAAGCCCAGAATTCCGTCATTCTCTTGTCCTGTTCGTTACGCAGAAAAATACGAAAACTGGAACATGGAACGTAAAGCCAAACTGAAAATTGTGGTCCTAAAACGGCTCCAGTGCTTGATTTTTCTCGCGCGGGGCCCTAAGACCGAGGTCCACCTTCTAGACCCGACGTGGCAATGCAGTCTTGCCTTGGTGATTGATTTCCACGTCTTTCCCTAGAGGTGGCAATATGGATAAATGGTTCATAATTAGTTTTGACTTAACGGATGGTGGATGAAATTTATTCAATCCATTTAGATCCATTTAATAAATGGATCTAAATGGATTAAATAAAAACCAATTATCCATTTATAATCCATTTAAATATTTTGATAACTTTTTTTTTTGTCAGATCCCTCGGTATGCAATAGTCACTTTGGGTCCTGACTAATCCTGAGTTGAGCTGGGTTGCACCCCATAAGAAGCGCAAGCTCTACCCATAAGAGTTGCAGTGCTTATGGTAAAGGCTTTTTTAGGTGCTAAAAGTAAAATGTTTGGTGAATATCATCCCATAAAATTAGGAATAAAGTTTTTGGTGTTAAAAACACTTTTAGCAAAAGGTTAAATTTGGTACTTTTATAGTAGCTTTTGTGATTTAAAAAATAAAACATTGAATTTAATTATTTTATCCTATATTATGAACTAAATAAAGAGATAAATACATTTAAAAAATTTTAAATTACATATTATCCAATACAATAAGTATTTATTGAACTATATCTCCAAATAATATATTTTAAAGCATTTAAATACTTAATAAATACTTTTATTAAAAACTTTATTGAAAAATTACTTTTTAATAAGTTATTGTAACTCCAAACAGGCCCTTAGTAGAAGGCAAATAACATGTGATTATTAAGCAACTAAACGGAAAAATCTACAAAAAAAAAAAAGAAAAAGACGAATATATACTGAACGAAGTACAAGACAATAACAAAAAAAGATTCTTCTCAAATTTAACTGACTCATAGAGGCCAGTTGTCAATATGTGTTTCTAGCTCCACTTCTTTCTTGTGAAAGCGATGATGTTCTCTAGTTTTGTGGGCCCACAATGATGACGCTTTCTGGAAGGAAAGAAGTTGTTCGTCAGTCCTGGATCCGTCTTCCCATTGCATTCTATTTTGCTAAATGGATTTATATGGATCAAGTGGATAATCCATGTAAATCCATCAATTTAATTGGTTTTAAATGATTATCCATTTAAAGTCATCATCCTTTTTTTAGTCATCCAAATTCATTTAAACTTGGTTTATATGGATGGATAAATGGATTTGAATTCATTTTGCCACCTCTATCTTTCCCTTAAAAATGCAAATTTATACTCCACCTGTGGAAACGGTAACGGCTAGTAAGCTCACATAGGATTCTCAGTGTCATTTTTCAGTGGCAATTCAGTGTCACTTCTATATTTATGTCAAATGTTTTGTTTATTTAATTTATCATGTGTTGTTTATTTAAATTTCTTCTACCATCACGTGATAAGTGGGATTGGCACCGAGTAGTGACACAGAGGATCCCAACTGTAGTAAGCCTAAGAATTTGATTTCATTTTACTATCAAAACACTACTGGCTTTGAAGTATACCGCCCACTATTTTATTCTCCAATTCTTTTCTCACGATTATTCTATTTGGATTTCTTTCACTTTTTGAAATTCTGATCTTTTGCATTGCATCCGCGACCAAAAATTCTGTTTTTGATTCTCAATGATGTTCCTCTATGAATTAAGTTAATGTGTTAATTTGAAAGAGACGACATACTTGTTCTTCAACTGCTACGCTGCTACGCTGATCAATGTGCACCTGTAATACTTGACAAGTGTCACAGCTCACTTCACAAAAGAATCCTTTCTTTGAAAAATGGAATGCATGTTTTTCGCATTTTCTCTGGTTTGTACAATGTTAGAATAGAGCCGTTCGGTTTAACGGTTAAAAGTTGACTTTCTTATATGTCCTGAGAGGATCATTAGAGGGCAAAAATTATTTCCTTTTTTTGGTTTTGTTAATTTCATAAAAAGGCAGTACATATTTTCTCCTGCGTACAATGAAGGCAAATTTGATAGAGAATTATGCGTCAATATTTTTTTCTCAAATTTTAAGGAAGTTTTTCTTGATAAGGGCTGAAATATCTATAAAAATGTCATTGAAGGAGAGGTTTTCAATGTTAAAGGGCATTGAAGTGCAATCGTTAGAATAGAAACCTGGAGCGAGGGACGTTTCTGAAATTATCCCATAATAATAGGAAAACGGGAGGAGATGATGATACACGTACGGTTCAAATGCACGTGACGTGACCGTAATACCATAAATCCAAAATTCCAAATGTGTGTGTAACATTTGATTTTTCCACTTTCAATAAACGATTAGTATTTGTTTCTTCTGGTCCCGCCATTTCACTCCTGGCAGAAGCGTGTTTGCTTGGCCGTCTTTTTTCCCCACTGCCTCGGAAAAATTTTTAGCCGCCAATGACTAAATTTTTTAGCCACCATACGAGTACGTCGCGGAAAGGCTAGTGTGCATTGTTAATCAGAATTCAAGTACACTGGCGGTATTGCTTGGCAGTTCTTGAATTGGCACTTCCCCTCCGGCCTCCACTCCACGGGGATCTAAATTCCCTGAGATGGCGAGCTGCCATCTGCTACGACTCTCGGTTGTCTCTACTTCCACAAGACCTTCAAAACTCAAGCACGAAATCTTCAACAGCAGAAGAATCAACCCAGCTGCGAGATACCACTGCCACTCCTCTCTGTCTCTGAATCTAAAATCAACATCTTTCCACTGCGACCGCAAACTCCAGAAGAGGACTACTTTCCTACTGAACTCTGCTTTAGGATTAGGCGGCTCCAATACAAGAACCCATTTCTCATTTTCTGCAGCAAATAAAACCTCGTGCCATGTCAAGCTCAGAGCCACAGCAGTTCCTGATAATATGCGGGCGAGTCCGCCAAGCCGAATGACGAGCTGCTGAAGACTTTGCAGCTCGGGGTGATGTTCGTAGTCTGGTACTCGTTGAATATATACTTCAACATTTTCAACAAGCAGGTTCCCTTTTCTTCTTTGCTTTGGATATCTTTAATTCTTTTTCCCATATTGTAGTAACAGCAGAAGTAGTAATTTTCTTCTATGGTTATGCTCATGTCATTAGCTTCACTCGTGGAATGTGTGTTTCATTTTCTGTAAACAAACGACTTTTATAAGTGCATTGCAGGTTTTGAAGGTATTTCCACACCCAACAACAGTTTCAGCATTCCAATTTGGTTGCGGAACCATGCTTGTACTCTTTATGTGGGCACTGAATCTCCATAAAAGGCCGACGATCAGCAGATCTCAGGTAGGTGTGCTCTGCTGTTTTTCTTTTGATTTTAGTTCCTTATTTGACCTTGATGACACTTGAAACTTTCAATCTTTTTGTCACTGGTAAAGATTATACATGTGCACATTGTTTTGTATGTTTCAGTTTGAAGCAATATTCTTGCTGGCTGCGGGGCACACTGTGGGGAACCTCCTAACCAACATCAGTCTTGGAAAAGTAGCGGTTTCTTTCACTCATACCATCAAAGCCATGGAGCCTTTCTTCACTGTACTTCTTTCTGTCCTCTTTCTTGGCGAGGTATATACCAACTTTAATTCTCACCTCTTCATTGGTTAATGTTGTCAACCGGGTTAGTAACTATGATGTCGCTGTTTAGCACGCCCAAGAAGCCAGTAGTGAGACTTGCGGTTTCTTCTCCTTTTGGTTCACTTCAGTGTTGTAAATAGTCGGTTGCGTTTGTTCTAGGTGCCATGTTTTGAACATATCCCAGACTCCAGTCATGTGACTAGAGAAGCATCCTTCATCTTGCCCTGTTTGTTGTGCTTTACTTCTTTTTGAATCAAATGGCCACTATTTCCTTACCATTTTCATTTTTTGGGCTGAAGACCCTAACTTTAAGCTTGGACATAAATTTCACAGCGGCCATCTGTCTGGGTAGTTGCTTCCCTGGTGCCTATAGTTGGAGGAGTGGCATTGGCATCATTCACGGAGACATCTTTTAATTGG